TGCCAAGAGGCTTGGTGCCAGGGAACTGTGGGACAGATAATACCAGTCCTTATGGTTACCATTCTTTGTAATAGCAAAAGACTAGAAACAACCCAAATGTCAGTCAATAGGACCGACTGGTTGAATAAAGCCAGGAAGATGTGCAGACATTGATATGGAAGAAACTCTAGAAACTGATGTTAAATAACACATAGAAGCAGAGTAGCGTGCTTCATGCTACATTTGTGTAAGAAGTGGTGGGGAATCCAGTTCCTTACTCATTTGTTTCAATACACAGTGGGTAGATAAACCCAGACCTAGTAAGTAGGTGACACAGAGGAAGGGAGCATGTAAAGAAAACCCCCTTAATTTCCATTATTTTGGAATGCTTTCTTTATTATATGAATGTGCATTCGTACAGGTGCCAGGGCCTATTTCAAAATATCTGGCATGTTCTTTTGGTCTTCACTTTCAGATTGGTCCTGCACTTAGTAATGGTAGTCCTATAGTGTGTTACAGGGCAGAGAAAAGTCCCCTTTAATTTTTTAAAAATTTCTTGTCTATATATTCCTTCAGATGAAATTTAGAGTCAGTTGGTTAACTCTGAAAATCTCATTTATAATTTCATTAAAATGGCTTTACACATTTATATTAACTTGAGGAGAATTAACATTGTAATACTTAAGTCTCCCCAGCTGGGACCTACCTTGATCCACTTTTCTGGTTTTTAGATTTTTTTCTACCTCTCAGTGGGTTTTTATCCCTTTCTCCTATAAGCCCCACATATTTCTTGTGAGAATTATGTCCAGATATTTTTTTTTGGCATTTTAAAAATAGTTCTGAAGGGGATAATGGAATTTCCCCCTCAACACCAATATTTCTTTTCAGTTGCTGTGCTTGGATAGAATAAAGCTATTTTCTTCTTGTAATGCTCATGTAATCCAGTTGCTTTGCTAAAACAACTTCTTCTTTTGAATATTCTAGAAACGAGAAACTGTCATATTCCTTTCCTGACCTCTGTTGTCAAGAGTCAACTGCAGTTGTCTACAAACTACACTTAGGAATGGTTGCTCTTTAATTTAAAAAACGATAATATATTTGCAAGGTTCAAACACAAAATCAGGGTGAAATGTCTGACTACATCTCTGCCTAGCCTCTTCCCATACCTGCTTTTATTCATTTGTGTGTCCTAAGATTTCTATATTCAAATACAATCAGATATAAATACATTCTTATTTTCTACATTATATATTTTTTAAAGATGTATGTATTTATGCACACAGAACTGGGGTACAGGCCAGAGGTGTAGGGGCAGTGAGAGGATTCACCAGAGACAGAGTGGGGAGCAGAACAGGTAGATGGATAAAGTACACTGCTGAGGGGAGCAGCGGGTGGGTCAGGAGAGGTCTGCTGTGCCATGTGGGTCATCCTGGGGTCGGGGAGCGAACTGATGCTGAAGTGGCTTTAGCTTCTTAGTGCTGTGCTTTAACCCACTACGCCACCAGGGAGGGCCCTATTTTCTACATTATTTTAAAAAATCGGATTGAGTTAACATTAGTATACAATCCATGTGTGATTTAGTGGTGTAAGGTCACACCTCTTCATATGTATATTACCACATCTCTCCCTTTCACCAAGGTACCCACAGTCCTCTCCTATAAACCACTAGCCCTCTCTACACTTTGCCCCTTTTTCTCCATTGTTACATAAAAGGTGGCTTCCTATTCATACACTTCTTCTGCACCTTGATTTTTTTTTTACTTAATCATCATACTAGTACAAATATTGAACATGTTATATGCTAGATAATGTTCTAACTTTTTATGTACATTAAGTACTTTAATTTTTCTAGTACTCCTATAATTATCCTCATTTGCCATGGAGATTTTTTTCTGTATAAAGAACTATTTTTTATAGCAGTATAGTATTCCATTGCATAAGTATAGCATGACTTATGGTACCAATTACCTAGTGATGGACACTCATGTTGCTACTGTTTTTTTACTATTATAGACTATGGCATTGTATGGTTGTTATTTTTATTTCATCTGAAGATAGAGCTACAAAATAGAGACCTAGAAGGGAGATTGCTGTGTCAAAGGATAAAGATATTTGTAATTTGGATGGCTATTGCCAGGTTACCCTCTGTAGAGTATAAATTCTTTTCATAATTGCTTAGCATCTCTCAAAAATAATGTCACTAGCAAGTACTAATGTTTCCATCAGTTACAGTACAGAGAGTTATTATTAAGAACATTTATATAGGACTTCTCATTTGGTCCTCTACAATACCCACATAGGAGATGGCATTATCCCTGTTTTATAGATAAGAAAACTGAGGTGCATAGAGGTTAGATCACCTGCCAAATCACACTGGCTTCACATCTACCCAGCTCCTGTGTCTACTCCAGCTACAGCTTACCTCTGTCACAGGCCCTACCTTGGGGTGATGGGTTATCTGGCACTTAGACCAGATCTGCTGGAGTTGCTGAATCACATGATCCATTGACCACACCATGCTGCTCTCCCATACTCTGGGGTACCCAGCAGATCCCTACCATCTTGGACCAAGTCTGCTGTGCTGAGCAGGAGGATCCATTCCTGAGGTCTTACCACCTTGAGGAACCTGGGAGTTCCAAGTCAGCAAAGCTGAGGACCATGCTGTGATTCCAGAGTCTGGTTGGCCTACAGACTCTCTGTTGGCAGTTCGAGACAGGTTGATCTCAGTAATCGAGGTTAAAGTGGCCCCAGCTAAGATCCTTTTTCCTGCCTCAGGAGGGCCGACTTCCTATTATGGCTGTTGGTGGGAGTAAATTACAGAGGAGTTTCTGGGGAAGGAACTAACACTATTTTTCCTGGTAATATATGGAGATGCAACATTGCAGTGGTTAAAGGCATGGACTCTGAGTCAGACTGACTGGGTTATTATATTAATTTCCTATTGCTGATGCAACCAACAAACTACCACAAATTTAGGGGCTTAAAATAAAATAATGCATATTATTGTATCGCTCTCGAGGTGAGAAATCTAAAATGGGTTTTATTGAGATAAAATAAAGATGTCAGCAGGACTGTGTTCCTTTTAGAAGTTCTTGGAGCAAATCCATCTGTTGCCTTTTCCAGCTTCTCGAGGCTGCCCACGTTCCCTGGTTCATGAGACCCTAACACCTCAAAGATGGAGGATAGCATCATCCTGACCCCTGCTTTCATCAGCACATCTTCTTTCTTTTGCTCTCCTGCCTTTCCCTGTATCCTTTATAAGGACTCTTGTGATTGTATTAGGTCCACGCATATATTATAGGATGATCCCCTCCCCCATCACAAAAACCTTAATTCATTCACACCTGCAAAGTCCTTTTTGCCATGTAAGGTAACACTCACAGGTACAGGGGCCATTATTTCACCTACTATCGATTCATTTTTTTAGATTTATTTATTTATACATACAAGAACTGGGGTACAAGCCAAGAGGTGCGGGAGGTTAGAGGGTTTCACCAGAAACAGAGTGGGGAGCAGAACAGGCAAATGTGCTGAAATACACTGCTGAGTGGAACAGCAGGTGAAGTGGGAGAGGTCTGCCACACCATGTGGGTCACCTCCCTGGCTGGGGATTGAACTTAACGCATTGTGCCACCAGGGAGGGCCCTATTTCACCAACTATTGGTTCTATCTGGACTTTACCACTTACTAATTATGTGAGCTCGGACAAATTATTTTACTTTCTTGTTCAATTTCCCCATCCTTAAAGTGGGAATATATTTCCTACTCCATAGTACTGTTAAGAGGATTAAATGAGTTTTAATATTTGTTAAACAGTCACAAATATAATAGTGCCTGTTATAGTAAATGTTACAGAAGTACTTGCTGGCTAAAATATATTAAATAAAAATGTTAAAATAAACTATAAATACGCTGATCTAGCAATCCTATTATTTGTAATCGATTTCATAGAAACAAAAGCACCCATGCATTAAGCTGCATATTATCCATATTGAGGTGGAGGGATAAGGAAGGGAAGAAGAAAAGAATGTACAAACAAGATATTACTGGAATGTCCATTAACATGAGACTGAATCAATTATGCTCCATGTGGAATATAATAGCATTATTACAGAGAATACATTAGATCTAAATTACAAACCTAGGGGAGGTATGTTAAATTAGAAGAGGAATTACAAAATTATGGTATAGCATGACCTCATTTTTTTTTAATCCCCATCCAAATTATTGTAGACATTTCAAACAATTATTTTACCCCATATGTCTCAGTTTCTTCATCTGTGAAATGAATATCATAAAAATTCTCCCCTAACAGACTCACCTGAGGGTTAAGTGGGATGAAATGTTTCCAGTCCTTAGAATCCTGTAAGCAGCCTCATAGTACTTCCAGACGGTGATTGGTGGGGACAGATGGGAGGCTGCACCTGGGATGCTCACCTGGTCATCTCCTGGCTAGTGAATGGGAATTCAGAAGTGATGGGCAGAGATGATTAGCTTTCTTTTTGTCTGTCTTTGCATTGTTTTATGGATGGCTGGGCATAGTAACCCCCCTTTTTTTTTAAGATTTATTTATGCATACAGAATTGGGGTACAGGCCCGAGGTGCAGGGGCAGTGAGAGTATTCACCAGAGGCAGTGGAGAGCAGAACAGGCAGGTCAACAAAGTACACTGCCGAGGGGAGCAGCGGGCGTGTCAGGAGAGGTCTGCTGCATCATATGGATCACTTCCGGGGCTGGGGATCAACCTCCCCAGTGAAGCGGCTGCAGCTAACTTCGCAATGCTGTGCCCTAATCTGTTGTGCCACCAGGGAGGGCCCAGTAGTAACTTTTTAATAGTGTCATGTTTCAGTGGTAGCTTGGATACTGCCACCATAACCACAAACACTGAACTGGGGAAAGCACACGCCTAGAAACACCCATGATTCCAAGTTTTGTCACTTCTGCAGTAGAATCTAAGGACGAAAACTTCCAAGGGAAAAATGACAGGAAAACCTAACTTAGATTGGCCTTGTGTGTCCACAGCATCTACTGCCGAGGCTGCTCCAAGCCGCTCTGCTGTTCGTGCGCACTCTTGGACGACGGTCACAGCAAGCTCAAGTGCGACATCAGCCTGGAGATCCGGCAGAGACAGGAGGAGTTGGACGCCATGACGCAGGCGCTGCAGGAGCAGGACGCAGCCTTTGGAGCTGCGCAGGCAAAGATGCGCTCAGCGGTCAGCCAACTGGGGCGCTTGCGCAGAGACACCGAGGAGCTGATCCGCTCACGCATGGGCCAGGTGGTGGAGCACGTGCTGGCGCAGGAGCACAAGCTGCTGAAGGTGGTCAATGAGCGCTACCAGTGCAACTATGAACAGTTGTCTGGCCAGCTGCGCCGCCTGGATGTAGTGCTGCAGCGCATCCGCACAGGCAGTGCGCTTGTGCAGAAGATGAAGAGCTACGCCTCGGACCAGGAGGTGCTGGACATGCACAGCTTCCTGCTTGAGGCCCTCACCTCCCTGCGGCAGGAGCAGCCACAGGACCTGCAAGCTGCCGTGCACACCGATACCTTCGAGGAGCTGAAGGTGCACCTGCAAGACCTTGTTTCTTACATCATCCAAAGGACAGGTAAGGCCCGAGCCACTTTCCTGGCTGGGCTGGATAGCATTTACGGTCTTGTGGCTTGCTGCTGGGTCCCCCATTCCCAGACAGGGCAGAAAAGATGCTCGCCACTTGACAGAAAGGGAAATTTTTTTTTTTTAAAGATTTATTTATTTATTCATACAGAACAGAGATGCGGAGGGTGAGAGGATTCACCAGAGACAGAGTGGGGAACAGAACAGGCAGATCGACGAAGTACACTGCTGAGGGGAGCAGCGGGCCGGTCAGGAGAGGTCTGCCACGCCATGTGGTCACATCCGGGGCAGGCGGGAATCGAGCTCATGGGGAAGTGGCTTAAGCTTCTTAGTGCAGTGCTTTAACCCGCTGTGCCACCAGGGAGGGCCCGACAGAAAGGGAAATTTTATTAAGTCTTAGGTTTGATCACAGCTCAGGTTTCAGGGCCACTTGACTAACTTACCAGACTCGATGGTTAGTTTGTGACCTTTAAGGAAGTTAGAAACTATGAAACACAACCAGACTTCATATCATTTTAGCCCCAGAGCGTCCCAGTCACAACTAGAGATTCTCTTAAGTGCCTATGCTAAGCAATGGAAAAGTCAGTGGGTTGAATGGAGGGGGCTGAGAAAACACCTGCAGAGGTGGGTACTTGTCCCCAACCACCATCTGACTCAGCATAGGTGCCTCTTTGCCCTCAGGGTAGCTTGTCATCTAGACCAACTGCCAAACGTTGTGGGCCCTGTCTGGTCTTGGGCCTGGGAAGAGAGAGAGCAGATGAATTTCTGATTTCAGACATTGTCAGGCCTGACCAGGAGTCAAGGTGGTGGCAACATATAGCTGGAGAGTGAGGTGTAGTTCTTGATTGGTCCTGAAGTGCACATCTGGGAGTTGCAACAGCTCTGGAGACACCAAGAGATATGGGCTGAGGAAACCCCACCTTGAGGAAATCTTTAGGCTGGAATCTTAGCTCTGGGCAGTTCTGGTTCTGACTCTGTGTGCATTACTGAGAAAGGGAAGAAAGACCCCAACACTGAAGGTGCCGTGAAGGGCTTGCTCATTCCTGCCCTTGGCAATGATGGTTGTGGGTTCTTAAAAGTATAATCCAGGGCCTTCCCTGGTGGCACAGCGGGTTAAAGCACAGCACTAAGAAGCTAAAGCCACTTCAGCATGAATTCAATCCCCAGCCCTGGAGGTGACTCACATGGCGCGGCAGACCTCTCCTGACCTGCTCGCTGCTCCCCTCAGCAGTGTACTTTGTCATCTGCCTGTTCTGCTCCCCACTCTGTCTCTGGTGAATCCTCTCACTGTCCCTGCACCTCTGGACTGTACCCCAGTTCTGTATGCATAAATAAATAAATCTTAAAAAAAAAAAGTATAATCCTAGAGTGGGCCTGGTCATCCAATGAATGTCATCCCATATATAGGAATGATCCCAGAGTTTAGACAGCTTGCCTTGGGTCTTATCACCAGACAGCAGCTGAGAAAGGATTTATTTTATCTCAAGTGTGAGAGATTTAGATTAGATTTAATAAAAACCAGACTGCAGGTAAGAAGGGTATGCCGAACTCCCACTGTGCTTGTGCTTAGTGAGCAGTCACCACCTCAGGGTTGCTCACACTGCCGGGTCTGTATCCAGACCCAGAGAGAAGGGCACCTGGGCTTTACAGCCCAAGGCACGAGCCCTCCATGCCACCCATCTCTCCCTGCTGGTGGGGTTCATGCTCATTGTAGTCTGCCAGCTTCCTTCTAACGCCAGCCTTTCCAGGGAGCTGCCTCAGTGCTGGGAGAGGGCTGGAGAATGGGTCTCCAAGTACTGGAGACCCCGAAACTGGAAGACTGGTCAGTATAGGCTGGAAGACTGACCTGTGTCCATATCATGCTGTTCTTGTTTGTGTCTGTGAAACCATGTCTGTGGAATAAGGATTAGAAAAGAGAACAGGACAGCCTGATAATGCAGAACCTTGGCAGTGAGTGCCAGAATAACACTGAATACTAAGAAATGAGAAGACGAATTGTTGTTTGGTAGTTCTGCTTATCCTGTATCTTTGTCACTTTGTTTTTTCCGCTAATAAAAGCTGTGGTATGCTGAGGAGAACAGAGCAGTGGATCTAGACTCTCTCTCCCCAGCAGCCCTTTCAAACTTCTCAAGACTCATGCCAGCGTCCTTTTGCCTTGGCTCTCTGTGACATCCAGGAAGACAATGGGGTGCTGTTCCCTCTGTCAACTGTCCCAGACCAGAATACCTCTCTCACACCAGGATGTCTCTGACCTGCCTGTGACCTTCTCTGTGTTCTTCAGATGCAGCTCTTCCGAAGCCAACCAGCCCAGAGACTGCCAGCATCGCCAAGGACATTGATGACATTGACATGGTGAGATGAGTTTGAGGGCTAAAGGGGTCAGGGGTGTCGGGAGCCCCGTGTCAGGAAGGGACTGGAGCCCTGCTCTCCCTGTGTCTGCAGGCAGGGACAGTGCCTGGCAGAGTGCTAAGAGAGGGACAGCAGGTGGTCGGACTGGAACTTTCTGTGGGACAGAGTAAAGGAAGGTAGTGGGCTGGCTCTAGGCTCCTAAATATCAGAGTAGCTCTTAATGGGGCCGAGAGGGCTTAGACCCAAGGTGGACACGAGGTGATCACTGGTAGCCAACCTTATAGATGTGGCAGCTGACCTCTCCCTGCTCTGCACTTCACCCCAGATATGTGAGCTTATCCCTGGGGTGAATGTGTAGACTTTCCCCTACATATGACTCTAGGAGAGAAAGGAGAATGGGGCCAGGAGTCAGACTTAAATCCTAGGGGTTCCTGGCCTCTTTCAGCGCCAGCATGCCAGACCATCATTTCTCAGGGTTAGAAGACACCTATGTCCCTTCTGATGTTGGCCTTTCCACCCCTCTGCAACACCCTGACCTGTGGTTGTTCCGCTTTCATGCAGATACCTGCAGGGACAGGAAATATGCTCATTCGTAAGCACTCCCATCTCTGGGGGACATGCAGTGGCACCCCTTTGACGTGTCCTTGTAGGTGCTGGCGTGCACGGCTCCTCTCTGCCAGGAGGGCTCTCGGTTGTCTCAGTTCTCTCTGATCTGCTCATCCTGGCCATTAGGTTTCTATGTGCCTGCCCATCAAGGCTCTGGACCGGGACTAGCCAGTCCTCGGGGAGAAGCGTAGCTGCTGCTGGGGCTGTCAGGGAGGGTGAGCCTTCACATGATGTGACCGGCAGGGGAGAGATTGCAGGATTATCCCTAGGGTGGAGAATGAGGAGAGTCGTAGATCCGGGAGAGTGTGCCGCGTAACCTCGTTTTCTACAGGCAATGAAGCTAAGGTTCAAAGAGGGGGTGTGACTTAACCCGAAGCCACGTAGCAAGTTAGGGGCAGGACTAGAAGCCAAACCTAGCTTCCTCATGTGCTCTGTCCCCCTATACACACACTGGCACAGGTAAAAAAGGACACTTATTTTTTTAGATCAGTGAGATAATCACATAGTCAGAAATGAAAACAGAAGTCTCACTCCTACCTTGTTCCCCATCTGTCCAGGTATGCCGTCATACCTGTCTTTATTAATTTTTTATATACCCTTCTAGAATTATAAGCTAATGTGATTATAGCTACTTGCTATTCTTCTTATTCTTTTTGTGTTTGTTTGCACAAAGGAAACGCAGTACCACATAGCCATAGTATTGTGTCCTGGGCTTTCTCATTGGAGAAATTACTCTGGAATTCTTAGCCTTTCAGTAGACAGGGAGCATCCTGCTGCCTTTTTGCATGGATGGGGCATGCTTTATTTAGCCAGTTCCTTGTTGATGCGGATTTAGGTGGTTTTGGTGTTCCAACATCAAGAGTGAATGCCATCTCCAAAGAAGTCATTTCCATAACATGGAAGTTACCCCCACAGAGCTCGACTGTCTTCTGGGTGCCAGGCACTGCTTAATGAACAGCAAGTGCCTGCACTGTCTTCTGTAAGGCCTGGGTATTTTGCCAGGCCTTTGTCTTGCTGTGACCTCTCACTATCTGCTGCTAAGCACTTTGAACTTAGAGAATGAGAAGGATGCTCTTTTTGCAAAGCCTGTTACTCTCACTTTGGTAAGAGGTTGGGGTGAGGTTGGGGTGAGCAGAGACGGGGATGGGAGGGCAAGGACAGGTATGGAGTGCCATTGGGCCAGGCGTGGTTGCTCCTTTCCAAGCCTCTGCCAAGAGAAAGACAGTCCATGTTCCTGACTTCTAGACTCCTCTTACCCACCTTTATCCCCTCTGAAAGTATTGGTTTACTTTCATGACAACCGTGTGCTTTCAAGGAGAGGAGGCAAAATACAACAGGTAAAACTAGCAACTTGGGTATGGCTATAGTTCTGCATCTTCCCCTGCTTCTCATATACCCTTTTTTGTAATGACGATACAGTCCTTTAATGAAAAAAAAAATTTTTTTAAAGCTACAAAACAACGAAGTCAATCAGCATGACCTGTTTTTTTTTTTTTTTTGAACACTCATGTGCTTCCGCTCCTTTGTTAATGTGGGGGTGGGTGTCCAGAAGCGTGGGGTGCGCAGAGAGGAGCCCAGCTCTGCCTCTGAGGTGTTCAAAGCCCAAGTGGAAAGAGGGTCTTTTACATGCCTGCAGTTTGCAGCGCCAGCAGGTAATAATTCTGTTAGTAAATAAACAAAGCAAAACACATGCTTTCTTAGTCCTGGAGATTGTAAGTCGGAGATCAAGGTGGCTGCAAGACTGGAAGCTCTGAGTCCTCCCTCCTTGGTTTGTAGAGGGCCGTCTCCCCCTTGTGTTCTCACCAGATCATCTCTCTGTGCGTCTATTTTTAATTTTTGAAGGAACTTAAGTGCAATTGTCCATAGCACCTATACCATTGCACATTCCCACCAGTGGTGTAAGGGGTTCCGTCATCCTGATGGGTATGAGCTAGTTGAAACTTTTTTGACCATCACTCATTATGAAATAGATATTTCATTTAACCTACAGCAGGTACACATGCACACAAATAAAAACCTGTAGCTTTAACAGTTTGGTAAAACAAATTTCACTTACTACATGGGATGCACTGTAGTGTTGTTTTTTCTATACACTCTTCTGTGTAGTATAAAAAATGCTGGTCATGACCCACTCGATGGCTATCCTGATTGCTAGTGGGTCACAAACTATCGTTTGAAGACACCTCCACAGAGAGCACCATGGAGAGTGTGTACTTTTGTAGAGACTTAGGAAATTATCTGTTCATTCTCTTTCCCCCTACACCTTTCTCCTCTTTTTGTAAACATGTTGAGAAAAAGAAGCCCTGGAAAGGGGAAAGTCAGTGCATTACAGCAAATGATGTGGGATCTCAGCACTCCACTTCAAAATTCTATACCAAGAGCTCCCTCCCCGCCTCAGGCCCAGAGTCCCACATGTAACACAGTGGACAGGGACAGCCTGCGGGCTCCTGATGGACGATGCCCTGTGTGCTCAGGGAATATAAGACACCAGTGGTCAGGAGTGGAGGCTGCCGCATAGATGAGCCCCTGCGGGCTGGGCCTCCCCTTTGGGAAGGACTCTTCCCACTTTGCTTATTTTCAGTTTTACACAATCAGGGGTTTGGGGCAGGGTATGAAGGAGAAGAGGGACTGATGAAAAGGAGTGACTTCGAAACCTAGTACAGGCCCTTTCTAAGTGTGTGGTTTTAGAAAATGATGTCTTTGCTGTGCCTCAGTTTCTTTGCATGAAAATTGACAATAGAGTTGGCCCTTGAACAATACGGGGGTTGGGGTACCAAAACCTATACAGTCAAAAATCCACCTCCAACGTTTGACTCCCACAAAACGACAGACACCCTTTAGTATCCACCAAAGGGCACCATCAACTCAGAGACTGTTTTCAGGACCCCCCCTTGCCTACCCATATTCGTGGCTACTCATTTTCCTTACAGTCAGCTCTCTATCCACCACGGTTGGTTAAATCTATAAATGCAAAATCATTAGCTATGGAGGGCCAACTGTATTTATAGGAAAAAAAAATCAGTGTATCAGTCAACCGTTGGCAATTCAAACCTGTGTTGTTCAAGATTCAGCTGTAGTCATAGTATGGTGCTTACTTTTTCTTTTTTAACTTCTTTTTTATAGCTTTTTTTTTTTAAATTTATTTATTCGTGCATACAGAACTGGGGTACAGGCCAGAGGCTCAGGGACGGCAAGAGTCTTCACCAGAGACAGAGTGGGGAGCAGAACAGGCAGAAAACGAAGAACACTGCTGAGGGGAGCAGCGGGCGGGTCAGGAGAGGTCTGCCACGCCATGTGGTGACCTCCGGGGCAGGCGGGAATCGAACTCATGTGGAAGTGGCTTTAGCTTCTCAGTGCTATGCTTTAACCCGCTGCGCCACCAGGGAGGGCCTATAACTTTTAAAACTTATAACTTCTTTTTATAATGGTAAAAGTCATATAAGGAAATTTATTATTTTAACCATGTTAAAGTATACAATCTTGTGACAACACATTTTCAAGCTTCTACAGCCATTCTATCTATCTACTTCTAGAATATTTTAAGTATTCTAAAAGGAAGCCCTGTGCCCACAGAGCAGTCAGCCCTCATTTCCACCCCTGCATACCCTGATAACCACCATTCTGCTTTCTCTCACAACATTTTTTATATAAGTGAAATGAGTTTTTCATATAATTGAAATCATACCATATATATTCTTTTGTGGCTTCTTTTTACTTAGCATAATGTGTTCAAGGTTCATGCACGTTGCAAATCTCAGAACTTCATTCCTTTTTACGGTTGAATAATATTCCAGCATATGGCTATACCACCTTCTGTGTGTCCATTTACCAGGTGATAGATATTTGGGTTGGTTCCACCTTTTGGCTATTTTGAATAGAGTTGCTGTGAACATTTACTCATATGCAAGTTTTTGTCTAACCTCTGCTTTGGGGTGTATATGGAGTAGATGATATGGAAATTCTCTATTTTGTTTTGGGATAGGTACTGGAAGTGCTCAGCTTACCTGGCAGAGTAGAGAAAAAGAAAATCATCATCAGGGCCTCGCGGGTGGTGCAGGGGTTAAAGTCTCAGTGCTATCAAGCTATTGCCAGCCACTGAGGTGTGAATTTGATCTCTAGCCAGGGAGCTGACCCACATGGTGCAGTAGACTTCTCCTGTCTTACTTCCTGCTCCCCTCAGCAGTGTATTTCAGTAGGTCTGCCTGTTCTGCTCCCCACTCTGTCTCTGGTAAAATCTCTGACCTACACCCCAGTTCTTGTATGCTCAAATAAATAAAAATAAATCTTTAATTAAAAAAAAAAGGACATCATTGTTGTCGTGAGTGGTGTACACAGTGCCAGCAGTCCTCCCAGGCAACTCACTTGGAGTAAAGCAGTTGGCACCCATCACCCTGTGAGGTGGATATTACTTCATTTCACAGAGGGGGACTGAGAACTGAGGAGTTAGAAGTGGTTTGTTCAGGGTGTGTAATTCACTGTTCTGAACCAGGCTGGGTTCAGAGGGAAGGTCACAGGGAAGCCAGCTGCAGTTCAGTGGGAAGATTTCTCCTTGGGTCGACTTTGGGACAGCAGTGAGCACTTCTTCCCTGGGGATGTGTAGGTTAGGTAGGAGCTAGTTATCTAACAAGCCTCAAGGAATTGCTGGGCAGTGTGATCCCTAAGGCCCTGTTAGAACAAATAGCAATCAAGGTGGCTGCTCGATGCCAGGACCGAAGTGCCGTAGGTGAAGTCACGGAGGGTGTGGGCAGGACTCCTGGTCACTGGTGGGCTCTGCGCTTGGAGCGGGCAGCCTGCACCTGTGGCTGGATGAGGCCCTGGGTTGGGCCGATGCTAGCCCTGGGCATGCTGACCAGTCATTTCTGACTCTTGTTTCCTGACTTTGCAGCCAGAGGAGATACAGAGGGTTCTGGTGCAGCCCCCAGGACTGGCTGAGGCCCAGCCTGTGGTACAGTCGGTGCCCGGGGCACACCCTGTCCCACTGTTCGCCTACTCCATCAAAGACGCCTCCTTTGGAGAGGTAAGGTTCTCCCTTGCCCCTGGTCCCTTTTCAAGTACCTAGGTCCCACCAGGCAGTGAGAGATAGTGCTGAGGTAAGAATCCAGGCTTCAATCAATACCTTCTTGTCAATCTTCCTGGCCAGTGGCGGCCCAGCCAGGAAGCTCCCCTCCAGAATATTGAGGCCAGCAGAGATCAGCAGGTAGGCTCAGTGTGCATGGATCTGGGTGGGTTCTCTGTGGAGAGAGAGGCCTGTTTGATCTGGCAGAGAACAGAGGGACCCAGAGGAGCAGAGGGGAGACTGCAGGCCCCATCACCCAAGTCCAGTCTCTGCCCACCACCACAGTGTCCCTGGAGGCTTCTGACCTGGCCCTGTGAATCCCCACTGTACAGGAGGTCTCTACACCACAGAAGAGGAAGTCCTGCCTGACCGAGTGCCCCAGCAGCAAGGTCATCAAGATGGAGTCTGAGGAAGAGAGAGAGGCAAGACTAACCCGGAGTTCCCCTGAGCAGCCCAAGCCAAGCACCTCCAAGGCAATCTCACCACCCCACCTGGAAGGGCCTCCCCGACCCAATAGCCTTGTCGTGGGAAGTGAGGTCCTCCTGCCCAACAGCAACCATGTGACCAGCGAAGCCAGGGAGACAGGTAGGTAGGGGGGTGGGCAGTAGGGGCTGACACCTCACACTGTCCTCCAGGGGCTCCGACCTCTGAATTCTGGGCCAGCAGCTGAATTAAGTATTCATAGACCAGGCGTAGCAGGCAAGATGGAAAGCCACTTTTTTGAAATTTTAAAATTTTCTTACATTGTTGTTCATTTTTGTAGCGTATTTGATCTCTCAGGTATAGTCCTTGTAATTCTCCCACCCCCATAGCATCATGTCCCATCACCACAGTCCCATGTGCTCTTCCCTCCCATTTCTACCCCTCCCTCTCCCCTGCTGTGGGCCTCAGATCTATGATCAGCTTGCAAGTTTTGTCTCTTTCCTGACTTTTTTTTTTTTTCAGTTTCTCTATATTCCCCATATAAGTGAAACCATCTGATATTTATCTTTTTCCTTCTGCCTTATTTGCTTAGCATAATCCCTTCCAACTTCATCCATGCTGCTGCAAATAGTGTGTTTGTCTTTTTGATTGCTCAGTAATATTCCACAGCTTTCTGACCCGTTCATCTGTATTGTGGCATTTGAAGGGCGGGTTTCCTTAAAGCCACTTGAATAACCCCTCCATACAGGCACAGGCTGGCACGCAAGACAGGCCCCCCTGGGTGGACTCACCTCATCCAGCCCACTGGCCTGCTAAGATTCCCCTGGGTGGGGTCCCACCCAGCAGGTGTCCCTGTCAGGACCTTACACTATCTCCTGCCTTATTTCAGAGGAGCACATCGTGGTGATCAGCAGCTCAGAAGACTCAGATGCTGAAAACTCGGTGAGTGGCCCAAAAGCTTGGCTCAGGACTCTTGCCTCTCCTAGGCCAGTTCCCAGGGGGCACAGCCACAGCAGGAAACCCTCAGACTCATCTTGTACCTGGGGATTTTCCAGAGAGTCAGAGTCTTAACTGTCTTGAAGACAGTGCCAGTGCCAGCTGTGGGCCTGGATCACCCCAGCCCTACTTCCATACCAGGCCTTGAGTTATCACTTCTGAAATGCTGAGAGTGCTTCCTTCCAGACCCCTGTCTCTTTTCCGGACTAACCACCACCTCGGTGCTTCCTTGTGCTCTTTCTATGCTCTAATCCTTAACAAGGAGGGTGTTCATCACAGCTAGGGTGAGCCAGGGCAGAGGTGTGAGGGCATGGTGCCCTGGCAGGGCCCAGATAGGCAAGTCTGACTCCACGTGAGAAAGTGCTTCTTTAAAGCTGTCCCACAGTGGAACAAGTGGAAGGCCCTTCCGTCCCTGGAGGTTTGTTAATGGAGGCTGGGCTGTCACCTAGCCAGGGGAAAAGGGGATCTGAATAGAGTAGAAGGTTGGACTGGGTGGCCCCGAGGTCCCTTCCAACCCTCAGTTTGAGGTTCTGTGTTGGAAAGCCTGTGGAGCCCAAGGAGACCACCGAGCCACGCTCCTCACCTGCCGGCCCCCTGCTGAGAGCACCAGATGCATCCCTTCCCTGCGGGAACCCTCATCTGCCCCAGGGCATATGGGGCCCCCTGGCTGGGCCACCCATCCATTCTGCGGAACAAGCTGCCATCCCAGAGGCCGAGTGTTCCAGCCAGCAAGTCCTCCAGCGCGGGATCAACTTCTGGTCACGCAGGAAGAAGAGAACTGCACACCCTCTCGGAGTCTTCCACAAGCCCTTCAAACTGTCCTGTGCTCACATGTGGGCAAGCCCCCCTTCTGCAGTTGAGGCCACCTCCTCCCTCGTGACCACCAGGCCTCCCAACCAGCCTGACAATCCCTGGGAGTATCCTGCCTGCCACAGGAACATGAGCCAATCCCGACGGGGACGAGGGGCCTCGCGATCCCGAAACCTGGGCCTTTCCAGCCGGGGCTCCTCCTACGTAGCCGAGTGGCTCAACAACTTCTTTTCCCTTCCTCTCTCTGTGATCCCTCAGCCTAATGCCTCTATCATTGAGATAGTGAGAGAAGGGAGAGCACCCCAGATACTCGGAGCAGAACTCTCCCCTGGGGATTCTAACAGAGCGCCCGTAGAGATTCCTCAGAGCCAGGTTGGTGGGGAGGACCCTCCAGAGGCACTCCCACCTTCCCACTCTCCATAAAGGCCCCCCTGCCAGCCCAAACCCCTCTCCGAGCTGTGAGACCCCCTAGTGACTCCCTCCTCTACAGCTGCTGGCCCTTCTCTCACCCTTGTGGCCAAACTACACAGCCCTGGCCCCTGAGCTTGCTCCATTCTGCTGCCCAGCCCTGCCCACAGACCTGAGGGCCCACAGTTGGCGTCCAGCATACCTTAGTCAAGGAATGAGTGAAGGGTGAACAGCTCCATCGACCTCCAGGTAGGGAGACAGACTTAGGTCCTCTTTAGTGGCGAGGTCTTGATTGAGATTCAGGCCCCTTCCTCATGTGCCTGGGCCTCTTCTCTCACCCTCTGCACCGCCCACCACGCCACCCCCCACCAGCTTTTCCATGGGGCCTAAGCCTATGCCAGAAGGGACTGTGTCTACCCCAGAAGTTGGCAGACTCCGTTGCTCAATAAATATCTGTTGAACGATCACCCTTGCAAGCCCGTCTTCCATGACTGTCACATCCCTGCAGCACTGAGTTCTTCTCTGCAGGTCACTTTTGTCCTCTCCCTGCTCTGAAACTTGGTTCTCCTGGGGGGTGGCCATGTCCCCTCTTTCCACCACACCCTGTGAGCATCAGAGGTAGCGACCTCCCTGTCTTCTGGACTATTTCAGTCCCACCTTCTGCGCTGGCCGGCTCGCCAGCCCCTAGCTCCGGCCCAGGGGCTGCACCTTCCCTTCCAGGAAGACTAGGGAGCCCTCCAGGGGAGACATCAAGACATCTCACCACAGCCCTGCCTGCATGGGTGGCATCCTTCCTGTCAGGGCGGAGGGGACGGCACCTCCCTGTAGGACTGGCTTCTCTCCTAGCCCAGTCCCCGCAATTCTGCCTTCTTGGGAGTCTGACTCTGTCTTCCCACCCTCATCTGAGCCTGCGAATACTTCCACTTCTTTCTGAGGCAGCTAAATTCCCTGAAGAAAGTCTTTCCCTGCCTGAAATCCTTCGGCTCACCTCCCTCTTGAGTTACTAATGTTCTTTTGCTCCGTCATCTTCTCTGTGCTGGGCCCTCACCCGCTTCCCTGCCCACGAGGCTGGCTGCCAACACACGACAATCACCGTCAGCCCTTGCTTGGTCGGGCCACCTCCCCTCCCTTGGGAGACGGCTTCCCCTCTGCTCATCTCCCTCTTGTCAAGTCTAAGTTCTTTGAAATGCTGTTGTACTTTTGGCTCTGGCTCAGGGCCCTCTTCTTCTTCCATGCCCTCCCCCCGACCTCAGTCACACTGTGGCCTTACGTATTGCATCCCGTGAAGCCAGTGCTTGCTCCCACAAAACAGGCCTGCATCACCCCAGCCCTGCTCCGTGGGTGCCACTCAGATACCCTGCGCTGGTGGCTCAGAATCACACCACCTGCCAGTAACATCCAAGCCCCCAGAGCCTCCTAGACACGGCCTCACAGCCAATCAATTTTTGTGCCTTGTTCCAACTTTCTCTGAAATCTGGGTACCTCTTTCCATCTCAGAATCTTAAAAAAATTAAAAGGGAGCAGCTGACCCTAGGTGGAGACAGAATCCTGGGAAGGGAAGACAGAGGAAAGGATTGGCAGGCCTGAGTCTCTGAGAGAGGCAAGGAGAGTGCAGAAGCCACTCTTATATGGGTGGGGGACAAGGTGTCTGTCCACACCTCAGCTGCCAGCATGGAGTTGCCAGTGATGTCTGAGGTTAACGAAGGAAGAAGGGAGAGCACATATGGGCTATAAAGAATGAAGCAATTAGCAGCAGCTGCTCACCCGGTAGATTGGGCTGGAAGCGCGGGGAGAGCCTGGAACCCCAGCTTCTGTACAGTGTCCTTAGATGGCATATATTTTAAGTTAACTTTTACAGGCATCTCAAATGTTTGGGGGTTGGGGGTGGGAATTAAAGAGAAAACAAATTAGGTCCCCCTTGTGTATTTCTGACCCACCTTGCATGCCTACTTCCAGACCCCTGGCACTTGTAGAGTGCCCACAGCATGTGCCCACATCTCCACAGCCTTCTCCATGACCTTCATCTGACTTCTGGTGTGTAAAAATGACAGCATTCTGGCCTGCCAAGATGGCACACTTACCGTGCACACCCGGGAGTATGGGCCCCGGCTCCGCCTCTCCAGTGTCAGCTGCCTGAGGCAGCCTCCTCCTGGCTCAGAGCAGGCCTGACAGCGGGGCAGGGCTCTGGCTGGCCTGACAAGCCCACTCCATTGAGCAGGTGTGGTTTGTGGTGCTGAGACAGGTGCTTACTCAAAGGTGCGGTTGGTTTGCATTCCTGGGCAGAGACCTGGGCTGAGGACTCCCCTTAAATATGGGGGTGAGTCGGCAGGGCCTCTCCCAGGCCCTGTGTTGGGATGCAAGCAGAAGACAGGTGTGATCACTTACTCTTGAGTCAGTGCCCTGAGCGGAGCGCTAAGTAGGAGTTGGGGCGACTCCTGGGGGAAGTAGCAACAGAAGGGAGGCCTGTGAAGAGTAGCTGCACCTGGTCAAGGCCTGGGGCAGGGCCCACAGAGGGCACAGGGATCCACAGGTGAGCTAGTGGGGCGATACACTCACCTATACACGTGAGAACCTTCTACACTATATGAGAGCTGGGGTTTTGTGTCTGCTCAAACCAGCAATGGCATGTCTTGCAGTACTCAGCTCTGTTGGTACTTGAACTGAGGTGCTGAGGAAGCTCCCCCGGAGCTGGGGACTTGGGCTAAGCATTCAAATCAGAGATTAGAGGAACCGCTTCATGTGACTGGGTACTGAATGTCAGAGTCTGGCCCATGTTTGATTGATGACAAAAGATGGGATGAATCTGTCATTAGGACAGTTATGATCAACCCTGGCTGCACACTGGAATCACTTGGGGGTGGGAAGAGGTTAACAGTGACAGATTTTTGCATCCCATCCTGAGATTCTGCTTGTATCAGTCTTGGCTGCAACCAGGACATTAGGGTCATTTTTTTTTTTTTAAAGCTACTAATGCTACCCATTTAGAGGATTCAGTAAGCACCTGTATCAGAGAGATGCTGCTCCTATGTGTCTCTTGGGCCAGGCGACATGTGCGTGCTGGGATAGGACATGGCGGGGAGAGGAGTGCTGGGTCTTCCCAGGTGGACCGCCTAGATTTTTGGAGGGTGATTACGATGGCCACCCAGCTTCTTCGCTTGAGCACCCATGGTACCGCCAGTAGACTGCTGTTTTGAGAAGGAATGCGGTTGGTGGAGACCGCTAAAGTTAGAGCTTGTGACCCAGATGGAATATGTACCCTGAAGGAATCCTGGATCCCTGAGAAACAGCCCCCTAGCCCACTAGATTAAAGACATTCCAGCACTGCAAAAAGTGTTAGAGGTGACTGGGCTCCAACTCCGAAGCACTGTTTATTTTCCTTTCCCCTTCTGATGTATCCTCTAGGTCTGAGG